TTAAAAGCTTTCATATTGCATGAGTATTAAAATTAATGTTAATTTTTTTATATTTTTATGTATATTAATGAATAAAAAATACAATAAATACACACTTAAGATCATAAGTTAAAACCCCTACTTATTTTGCCCACAAATACTAATGATCTCTTTTAATAAAATAAAGAGTAAAAAATAAATTTCAAAACGGTAATGACATGAACAAAGGAATGAGGTATTTAGCATGAACAAAGGAACAACCGAACAAGATATTTAGCATAAATTGTATGTGTATATATAAGATATTTGAAAGGTTAAATGTCAATTTTGATCTTTCAACCTTAGGATTTTGCATAGTTTTGGTCTCTTAACCTTTTTATACACTTTTTTAGTTGCTTAATTATGAAAAATACATTTTTTAGATCCCTCCATCATTAGTTCATTACGTTTATCTGTATACACACATTCTTAGTCTCTTAATTTTATGATTTTATATAATTTTTGTCCCTCAACTTAAAAGTTTAAAGACTAAAAAAGTGCATATATAAACAAATTTAATAGATTAATCGATGAAATGATGAAAAAAATGTATTTTTCATAATTAAGAGACTAAAAAAAATGCATCAAAAAGTTGAGGAGCTAAAACTATAAAAAAAAACCCAAAATTAACATTTAACTTATTTCAAATCTTCTTATTTTACTACATTTTTTTTTTTTGAATTCTAGTGCTCTCTCCTAAAAGGTCAAATAACATGGACAGAGGAATAAGATATTTAGCAAGAAATAGCAAGTGTCTTTTTTCCTTTTTGGGCCACCAATGTGTCTCAAATCTTTCTTCCGAGGTTTTAACGTGTGTTCCATGTTTTTTTTTCAGGAACATAGATGCAACTTTGTGTTACACGTTTTCATGAACATGCGTTACAAATTTATTCAGTCAAAATTCAATAGTTTGTTTAATTTGTGTTTTAAATGTGTACATATTATACTTTTTTCTTTAATTATTTTAGAGAAAATAAAAATTAATTATTATTTTATCAACTATGTTATTAAAATTATTTATATGTTATTGGTGTTGAAAATAAAATTATTTTTAAAATTTTTTATATAAATTAATAAAAAATATATAATAAAAGCTCTTTAACTTTCGTGAAAAATAATGATATACCTTTGTACTCAATAAATAAATAAAATATATATTTGCTTTCCAAAAGAAAAAAAATTATGATATAGTGACAACCTTAGTTGTTTTGCATTGTCACTTTGTTTCATCAATTGGCTTTTTTTGCAAGTTGCAACGACCCAGGTGACATAGTTACGTGGTCTTTTTCCATACCACCAATCCGTTTATTATTGTGACTTCCACCCTGGATGCGGCAGAGGAAAACCGAAAACAACAAAGTTGAATGTTGAAGATCTTGTCCTCAAAGTCATACATTGCATCCTCTGGCACGCCCTTCTTGGGTGGTGTCCCCTGCGGTCAATGATCATAGTAGCCATTGTCAGCGTAATCAAAGGGGCTTGTGCTTCCTACACCCAGCAAAGAATTTAACAACCAATTGAAATTTCATGTCACCAATGGTAAATAGGGTCACTAAAGAAAATGTGATGAATGCCTATTTATAGTATAATCATTTTTACGGTAATATATTAACAGAACATAAATAGAGAAAATGATAATATTTACATCAGAAAAAACCAAAAAATAAAAAAAGAAAAGAAAACTTTCATATTTTGGGATACAGATCTCGACAACCCATTTGACAAAGAAACCAATAACCAAAAAAAGTTTGTTCCTTACTTTAATAACCATGTTTTAATTTTTTGGAGAGGTTTATTATAAGAAGATAATGTTTTATAAAAAAAATTTTAATTAATTTTAATGTGAATGATTTGTCTTTTCTTTTAAGGACAAGGAGCAGTTTTAATTCTTTATGTAAAATAATTAATTAATCAAATCCAAAAGAATTTTAAAGAACCGATCCAAAGCCAACATTAATCACTTTCCTATATATGGCACCCTATGCAAAAGGAATTATATATAGTATTATTTGATCTGTTATTATAAATGATTCATAAAAAAATTATCGTCTATTAATTCCCACTAAAATAAAAAAGATTCGGATAAAGCAATTCGTATATATAATTAAGAAATACGAAGGTGAAACAATGAGTAAGGTATACCAAATTAATTAATTGTCTCAATAAAATATTTGATGAGGTTCAAAAAACAAGAAAAATACATATTTTGAGGTTGAGACAAAAGTAATTGAATGGCAAAAATATATATATGAACAAATTAATAGATACTATGAATCTTGGGCTGTTGTAGATTAATTATAATTATAATTCAAAAGTACTAAGAAGAATGGTAGAGTATAAATGTATAAAATATATAGAGAGAGATCAGAAATCTGCAGAAAGCATATGGTATGCATGTGGGAAACACAGTAGACGACCCTTTAATTACACTTAGGAAGCACTTAACGGACAGTAATTAAATTGGTAGGTTTAGTTAGCAGCCTTGATGTCCTTGACTGCTAAATAACACCAAAAAAAAAAAAAAAACCTACCATTTATGTCTGTCAAGGCTGTTAACTGAACCTAACAATTTAATTAATTACCAACCGTTAATTAAATTACTAGTTTATACATCTATCTTTGAATTTATTTAATTATAGGGATTAATTTAAATAAAATAATTCAAATATTAATTTCAGTCCCTCAACTTTAAAGTTTTATATAAATTTTATTCTTTAACTTTTTTATATATTTTTTTAGTTCTTCACTTATAAAAAATATTTTTTTTTAATTTTTTCATCGGTTAATATGTTAAATTTATTTAAACATATACATTTTTTATCTATCAATTTAAAATTTTAGAGACTAAAAATATGAATATGTGAACAAACTTAATGGATATATTGACTAAAGAACTAAAAAAATATATTTTTAATAGTTAATAGAAAAAAACTACATAAAACACTAAAAGTTAAAAGGTTAAAAAGTTAATATTTAACTAATAAAATAATATAACTAGATAGCTACGTAGGTTAGTTATGGATATCGATTTGGCGGAATGGAGATATATTACTGAATTTCATTTCTAGGCAGCTATTACCCAATTTCTAAACATGATCTAACAGGTAAAATCAAGAAAATGAAGTTTTGTCAAGAGCAAAGAAAGAGAAAAAATAAAAATAAAAAATAAAAAAATAAAATAAAAAGAAGAAGAAGAAAAGGAAGGAAGTTTTGTACATGAACGACGACTTTGGCCTCGGCAGCGCACACGGTTTTCGCCCATATTAACACTATTAATTTTTTTTTTAACATGAAAAAATTTATTATTATTGTTGTTGCTGTTATTGCTCTTGTTGTTGTTGTTGTAAGGGAATTAGAGGAGAGAGAGGAGGAATGGGGAACAAAGAGGTAAATTATGAAAAATTTATTAGTATTTTTTTTCATGATACTTTATTAGAATATCCTAATTTCGAAGCTTTTTCACTTTTTTTTTTTCAAGTCGAGTGAATAAATACTAATCTTAAATAAAATATAGTTTCTTTTTTGATATGGTAACAGCTATTAATGAACTTTAAATTAGAATATCAAATCTAACTGTTAAATTAGTAGAATATAAATTATATAAACAATTACAACTAATGTAAAATCATTTTTCATACCCAACAAAATTATTTGTCTTAAGAATTAATTACAAAGAAAGAAATCATCCCTTTACCTAGCTCCTAAATATTTTTATTTAAATTCAAAATGGTTCTCGTAATTCAAACATCAAAAACAAAAATTTTGTACTAATTAAAAGTTGATATACTATATTAAATATTTTTCAATAGTTTGGGGGGCAGCTGAACCCCTTCTTCCTGTGGTAGCTCTGTCCCTAATTACAAGTTGCCTCTTTTATATTATTTAATTCTTTGAGATGGAAAATTTTAAATTTTAATAAATAAATCAGTAAAAAAAATAGATATTTAGAAATAAAAAAGTAATATTTTAAAATCATTTAAATTAATTGATCCATTATTTAAGTATTATCGTGTGAGGCATAGTCTCTTATTTTAATATTAATAAAAAATATTAAAGATATGGGACAATCAAAAGCTATTAATTTCTTAGTTTTGTTAAAACTCCAAGAAAATCAATGAAAAAAAAATCAAAATTAAAAATTTTCTTATGAAAAAGATTAACTAATATTATAAAAGATATTTAAAACTCAAATCTTCAATAAAAATTTTTGCCTCTCCTCACCTAATATTTTAGCTCTGCCCCTTGGCAGGACATTTGATTTTTTGCATCTTCTTACATCATACTATGTCAATATCTTGTCCTAATTAATCTTATTCAAAAAATAAGGAAAACAAAAAAAGAAAAAAGCTACACAAACTTTAACACACGTAAATTTATTTATAATTTAATATGATATTAAATGAGTAAATGGGATATTGTTTGCGGCAATAAGTCGCAGGGAGGTTTAGGGGTGTCGGATTTGCGAAGGAAGAATTGGGCATTATTAGGGAAGTGGTGGTTCCGGTTTGGTGATGGTGTGGGGAGTTTGTGGAAGCGGGTAGTGAGGGATAAATATTATGAGGGTCGCTGTGAGGTGGATATTACAGCAATTGATAATTTAAGAGTGTCGAAGCTGTGGAAGGATATTATCAGTATTGGGGGGAGATCTGTTAGGCTGAGGAATATGTTGGGGAATGGGTTTAGATGGAAGGTGGGGTGTGGAAGTAGGTTGGGTTTTTGGAGGGAGAAATGGGTGGGAGATAAATCCTTAAGGGATTTATGTCCTAGATTGTATGCCTTGACTGCGAATAAGGAAGGCTTGGTTAGTGATATGGGGAAATGGGATGGGGATAGGTGGCAGTGGAATATGGCATGGAGAAGGGGGAGAATGGGGCGAGAAAAGGATGAGGAGGTGGTTTTGTGGGGAGCCGTGGAGTGTGTACACTTTCAGAAAGGTAGGGAGGATGTTTGGACTTGGGTACATGATCCAGGAGGGAAATACTCGGTTAGGATAGCTTATGAATTTTTGTCTCCTGAGGAGTGTCATCTTGATTCCCAATTGTGCAGGCTTATTTGGTGCAGGCTAGTGCCGTTGAAAGTCAGCTTTTTTGGGTGGAGGTTATGTCTTGATCGGTTGCCAACAAAATGGAATTTACAAAAAAGGGGTGTGTTGTTGCAGCAAGAGGGATCTTTGTGTGGTTTGTGTCATGAGGTGGTGGAGGAGGTTAATCATTTATTTTGCACTTGCAGGGAAGCTTGGTTAGTTTGGGTGAATGTGTTGAATTGGTGGGGCTTTGAAACTGTCATGTTGAATACCGTTAGGGGAATGGCAGAATTTTTCTTGGTTGATATGGGTAGAATTATAGGGAAGGAGTTGGGTGCATGTGTTTTTCTTGTTGCTGCATGGTATCTTTGGTATTGGAGGAATGCTTGTGTTTTTCAGAATTATGGGAGTATGCAGGAGTGTTTGTTAGATAAGATACAAATGAAGTCTTTTTTCTGGGTTAAAAATAAGGTGCGTGGATGTGCTTTTTCTTTGTATGAGTGGCAGATGAATCCAATTGATTGTGCCTTGGCTGTTAGACGGTATAAGAGGATGTTGAAGAGTTTCCAAAAGCAGCATCAACGTTTAATATGAGGTCTCCATATAGACATGCATGAGTTGATGGTTCCGGTCAGCTATGCTTATTTTGGCTGGTTGGTCTGTTCTGATAATGTCAATAATAGGATTTTATCTATGTATATGGGTTGGAGTACCCCTTGTACTCCCAAAATTAATATTTTTTTTTTTTTTTGATCAGCCAAAGAAAAATTAATTTAATGAAGCACAAGGGGTGCTCCTGCCCTTATACAAAAATAGGAAACCAGAACAGAGGAGAGCCACTCTCCTAATAACCAGAAA